CTCTCTTATACGCCTGGAAGCACTCCACTCGGGATTATTATGCAATCAAATCTTATCGACGTTACGCCGGTTATATATTACTCCCTCCGGTAGTTATTACAAGGCATTTTGACTTTTCCTAAATTTCACATTATACGTATTTTTAATTAACCAAACAATCTTAAAGATATATTATCACATTCGTTGTATTCTCTTAATTGTTAGAAAATATTTTTATGGATTTTTTGTCAATAAAAATTGAGTATTAGGTGAAATTTATGACAAATCAAAATGCCTTATATTAAGAACTTGACGGAGTATAACAAAAAGATAACAAAGTAATTTTACTCAATAGAAAGTTCATGGCCAGTATCCTACATTATGTTACATGAAAATATACGTAATAATTACACTTCTCGTTAAGTTGACCAGGTCAATTTAATTTGATCTACTATATGTCTCATAATAATGTAACGATTTTCTCATGAGATCGATTAACGCTCGACAGATTACATATAAAGTGCAAGGTATATGCATAAAAACAAGATTCTCTAGTGAGTTTGTCTTCCAACATTTTACAAAACGTAACGGATGATTAGAAGATTTTATTAAGAGATCGAGATCAACAGTTTTACATAATATAATAGATGCGTAGATATTTTTCTCGTGAGATTAACCAACATACTACTGTAACGGATACGCACTCAAAAGTGTGCCTCATCATTCATTAATCAAAAAAGACAACCCAATATATATATCCGTTACTAGGAAGATATACAAATTCCACTCAAATCCTACATAAGTACGTTATATTTGGTTTTGGTTTTCATTTTTGCTTTTTCAAAAATAATCCCCAGCTACTTTGTGATGGAAGAATATATTCTTCTTGCATTTGTTCTCCACGCTCTTATAATCACCGGGGATTTAGAACCCCGCTAAAATCTGCAGTAGTAATAAATAAAAAGTTAATTAATTAATGCATTAATCATCTATTTATTCAGAAATTATTTTCTGTGATTTTATGTATATAAATTTTCTTTCGTTATTATTATTATTTTCTTGATCAGAAACGTTTGGGGACGTGCCGTTTCTACATTTTATGCATCACCCGTTTCTCAGGTTCAAATTGTCGACACATATAGACAACATACGGAATTCTTTAAACTCTATACTAAAATAAAACCAAGGTGGTGTTGTGCGAGTTTTTTAGATCCATATATACCTTCCTTTCTACAATCTTATTCAGTGATATTGTCCCCATGAATCCATTTTTAACGACTTTTGTTGCTAGTTTTCAATTTCTATTCTTTGTTAATATTTTTTACATTTGTTTTAAGTACTATTTTTTGAACCAAAACAAAGGGAAAAAATTCTAAAAATAATGGATGACTTTCGTCTTTGACTGTGATAAGAACAAAGCTTAATTGTAGATAGATTAATGCAAAAGTATTAAAGAATTAGATTTTGAATCAGACATTCGTTGTCTACTCACTTTGAATCCGTAAAATTTGATTCCATTAATTAGCGCTGCATGTTTGGCACAATAATCTATTCACCAAATTTATGATTAATTCCAATTAATTTAGTATTTCGATTGTTCTGTTGTTTAGGTACCAATTAATTAAAGCCAGTTTAATTTGTTAGATATCGTATTTATTGAAATCTTATATCTATTGATTCCTGCAAATTAAGATCGACCAAAGTGAAACAAACAAATTTTAACAAAGATAAACTTTCATTCGATAGGGCTGATTGAAACAAGGACAACTACAGAAATTTCACTCTCTGGCAATCGATTGCCTATAACTTTTCATAACCCTAAAAGACATATAAAAATGCTAAAAGACTCAAAACAACTTAAACAAACTGAAGAGCTAGCTAATCATCAGTTAACGTTGTTGTTGTTGTTGTTGGCTACGAAGCGTCGAGGTGCACTAGAGCGACGAGGCCGACGACGAAAGCTGCCATTTTCATTGGGTGCTCTAGCCGGAGGGTTTTCCGCGGCCTGAACAGCGACAGGAGCCACCGGCAGCGGCGGCGGTGCCTGTGGGACGTGGCCGTCAGCAGCCGCGTTGGCGGGTACACCGGGGACTTGTTCAATAGCACCTAAATGATTGAACCCGTTTTCTTCTGGCAAAGGGCCATCAAAATTAATAATAGGGTCGTGGAACCCGTTTGAATGTATCAAAACGGGTCCAACTCCATTTTGATTCGGTTGATCGTTGACATTGCCCATGTTTCGGGATGCCATTTTTTTGAGGGATTAAGCAAAATTGAGGGGTATATTTATAGCAAAAAAGATTTCATTTCATTTGACCAAAAACTGGCGGTTCTTCAATTTTTTTTGAATTTTGAAAACAAAAGAGTTCACGTTTTTAGTGCAAGTGGTTTAGCTGTATTTTTTAAGGAAACAAAAAAGGGAACAAACAAAAGGGCGATTCGAAAGTTCTAATTGAGCTGGTTTTAGTTTGTATTCCTCCCATAATCTGTAACGTTACTAAAGTATCTGTGAGTGGAGCTACCTAAACAAAACGCAAGGGTGTTTAATTTCCAATGCATGTTCGCACATATTGTTGAAAGAATAAAAGTAAAAGTAATTTCGATGAATGATGATGCGTATGTTTTTCTGTGTTTTAGATTAATTTTTTTAAGTCTACTTTGTATTCTAATACATAATATTGTTGATTGCCTCTAATTTTTTTCTTCATAAAATAAACCAGGAGGGAACTTAATTAGGGATACCTTTTTTTTTCCTTGATATTTTTAAAGAATTTACACTTTAATAAGGACTATCTTATAAGGATTTTCAATTAACTAATGACGATCCCAAACAATATAATTTAGAAGAAGAAGGTTGAATTATATATGGGACCGAAAGATTTATTTTAGTCTAGGATATGATAAAAATTGTGTTGATCTAGAATTAGCTATCCTCGAAGATAGATTTGGTATCTCGGCTCCAATCAAGTCTCATATTGCAATGAGAGGCTTTCAGAAGCTAACTTAGAAGGCTTTTGGGGAGCATGCATGTATGAGAATACTTTCACGTGATTTTAGCGATTCAATGAAACATTTTTTGTCAAAATTAATTTTATTTTGTATATTTGTAACATTCATGTAAATATAAATCCTGTCCGTCGTAGCAAAGTACGTAAAATGTGATTAGGAAAAATATGTTAACATGCACGGATACGCTTTTCTTTATTAAGCAATATTGCGTGCCCAGATACTTTTCATAGGTTTAAGCAATATACTTTTCATTTTAGATTAATAGTTTTTTCTCCAGAATCAATGTTTTTTCTCTAGTCTTCGAATTATCATAATCAATATATTCTTTCTTTAACTGATTCAATAATTGAATTTAATTAAACTTGTGATTGTATGTTCCTTTACTGACAATTACGTATAGGATTTTGTGGTAGTAATCAGCTCTGCAACAAGCTTTGTTGATTTTCTTGCAAGAATAATTGTCCGCTTTAATTGACAAGTAATTAATTTCTTTTAAAATGTAAAAGAATTTAAGAAATATTATAGTTTTATCTTAATTTTTTCGTGGTCCACAAATTATTACGATATCATGAATGCTATTAATAAGTTTATTGCAAGAGATCAACCGATGCATACACTAGAATAAGTTTAACTGGTCATATATCACGTTTGAAAAATCAAAATACCAGTTAAGTTCAAATCACCCATCACAAAATTCCACTGCCAAGAAATACTTGGTTTATGGGATAAATATACTAAGCCCAGTTAACTATGGCCTGAATCGAAACGAACACCGACATAGACATACAACAATAATGAAATTACTTATTAGAAGAATCTTATCAACCGAACGTTGCCAAACACCAAATATGTAATATCTCAAAAAGTCGCCAATTACATTTCCTGTAAAGCGAAACATATTCTTGTTTATGTTAAGTAATTCATTCTTCTATTATATCATTATCTTATAGAAAGTGTACTTGTGTTTCCTACTCTCTTTCTTTTCTAATTTTCTTAAACTGAAAAATTAGGGATTCTGAACATATAATACGATACAACCTTTAATACATTTAATTATGTTTCTTTAATGACTATTACTTGGTCTACATTAAGAAATGATGTTAGCCAGTATGTTAATGGTATTGCTGGACTCCCTCATTTTTGAGGATGGTTTTGCACGCTCAAGCCTGTCTGAAACAAGTTTCAACAAAGAAATATGATTTGAATTACAACAAATCTGTTTTAATTTTTTTATTTTATTTTGTCAAACTATTGTTACCCGTACATACAAAAATCAATTGTGATTAATTAAGAAGTGCGTCAATTAAGTCAAGTTCGGAAGAAGAGTTTCTCCGGTAGTTCATATACATGCGATTCTAAATACTACTGTAGTATATATTTTGCAGATAGTATTCGATTTTTATCCTTGAAAAGATATACCTATTCGTTCGAAGCGACATTTTTGAATGGAGAAATAAAGGATTATAGGCTTAGAGCCATTTCAAAAAAAGGTAAAAAAAAAAAGAAAAAAAAACTCTTAGATGAACATATTGTAAAAATGAATATACACGGAAGATTTTCATTGTTGTAATAAAGAAATGATCTCCATGACAATTTCGGTTGGAAGATCTAAAATCTTTTGGATTTATTATTTTTTATCCATTATCATGTATTAATTCAAAGGCAATTTTACTCGATCAATGTCAGTTCATTGAATCTTTTATGAACAGTTTCCTGCGAATTAATTTAATTTGCACCGATAAATTAAGTACTTATTGTTAGAACACAACAAATTTAACACAATCAAAATCCATTAATTCATATTACTAATCATCGAAGCAAGGAAAATACAGAAACAGCTGGAGGCTGCGCCGACCAGTAACTTCATCACCCTTTTTTAAACTTACTATAACCCTAATAAAATCACCAAAAGGGAAGCGTTAAATGACAAAACAAGATTTTTTATTTTTTTTAAAATAAAAAGACTCCAAATAATTAGACCAAAATATCATTGTTCTTTGATGAGCTGGTCATCAGTTGCTGGTGTTTGTGTTGTTGGCGGGAATGTGTTGGCGGGGCTTTTTAGAACGACGAGGGTTTTCCACCTCGCCACCATGAGGAGGGAATCCGGGAGGCGGGGGCAAGGTGCCTGAGGCCATGTATATGGTAGCTTTTTCCTCGTCCAGATAACCTTTCTCTACTAGCCACCTTATTATGTTGGCATCCTCTGGATGAACACCCGATTCACGGTTACTTCCTGGTGGGGCAGCTGGCGGGACCTCTAGATTCCCGTGTTCAAGTGCCATCCCCACGTTATCGTGAACATTAGGGATTGGAACTCGAGGAGTAACCGCGATACTGTTTCTTGTTTGCGGTAAGGGGCCTGCGTTGTTGTGTATGCCATCAACTGGTGGCTGGGGCTCTTCCTGATCGCCGTTCTCTACAATCCCCTCCACCGGGTCCTCGACATCATGGAAGTCATTTGAGTTTCTAGCAGCATGATCAATTGTGGTTTGGTCAGCGCTTGCATTTGCGTTTGAATTTGCACTATTATTTTGGTTGTTGTTGTTGTTGTTGGAGTTGTGGTTGATAAGGGTTGACATTTTTTTTTTTTTTCCCTGAATGGATAACTCAAGTGAAACGTAGAGAGAGTAAGCCAACTGAGGAAGCAAGAGTTGCTGTGGTAAGGGCAAGAAGGGGTAGGGTATTTATAGCAAAAATTTGCATCTTTCTTGACCTCTTTTAGTGATGGTTTTGATAATTTTTGAATCATGGAAACAAATTCCATTCACATTGTATTGGCCACTCTTGATCAGTTTTGGAACATAATTGCCTACTTAATTGGTTGATTTTTAAATTCTTTTTTTTAATGGCAAAAAGAAAAGAAGAAGGTGTTGAAAAGTTTTGAAGATATTGTTTTCCCACTTAGTCTATGTATAGTAGTCATGAGACGAACTAGGAAAAAAACACCACAAATTAAGGAGTTGACGTCAATGTATACGCCTTGGGATCGCTTGGATGAATAGTATCTGGGTATGGATGAGCGATATTTGAATGTTGTCTACCACTTTTCTTCTAGATTTTCTACCAATTAATATAATCTAATTCGGTGAAATCTATTTAATACATTCAAACTTCAAGAGAAATTTTAATTAGTGAATAACATTACATATGTAATATACATGTCACATTTCTTAAATAATATCTTGCTCAGATACGTTGAAAGTGAAATATAAATAAGAAGAATTTAATTCATTCATTTACGAGTACAGGTGTGTGTGGAGAGGTTCGGGAATTTACATTAATTGTTTTATTTTTTTAGATTCAATGTTTTCTTTAGTCTTTAAATGACACGGATTTTGTTTAAATCTCCGAATTATTTCAATAATGGAACTTATTTTAAGACTTATGATTTGGCCGTTATCAATGTTAGTACTGACAAAAAAAGAAATACGCCACCTCCCCTCTCTCCCTCTCTCAACCCGTCTCCAAAAAAACAAATCTTCCCCCATCTTCTCACCATGGAAGGATGGGGGAAATAATTTTATTCTAATTTTATAAGCACAATTTAAATTTTATCGTTAAATAAACGCGATTATTTCTCTCTTTTTCATTGAAATTTTGTTCCTTCAATATATTATAGTATATTAAGAGGGTAGAATTCCTTTTCGTTATAGTTACTCCGGTGAATTTGTTGCAATCTACTGGTTGAGGCTAGGGTTTGTTTTTGTGACCTTGTTGGTAATGTTCGCGGGTTTGCTGTGTATCGTTCGACAAGATTCAGTCAATATAAATCTATTTATTAGATTTATAAATTGGGACTTTCATATAATAATTAATGATATATCCTTAACCGGATCTAAAATCCGGTACGTGATATGCCCAGCGTTGACTAGGATAGATCTGTATAAATTTATCAAACAAAACAGTGTGATTGTAATAGAAGATGTAATAGAAGTTGTGAGTTGTGTTTTACACTGTTTCTTTTTAATGTTTCACGCAGTAGGACAATTTCCAACAAATTAATGAAAGTATATTTTTTCTAAAAAAAAATTGCTAGTAGTAACTAATATTACACAGGAGTATTGTGGAATCATTGAACCTCTTTATTACATCTCATGATGTTTCTTACCAGAAATAAATCTCGGTGTCTACTGATGAGTGTTAAATTCGAAAAATTTTTAGTCCTCTTTCCCTTGTAAATATTAGAATTTAGGCTAAACCCTTCTACTCCTAAATAATTTTTGTATTTTCCTCAGATCAGGGGCCTAATTGAAATATTGGTTAAATTTTGGGTAAAATTGGCTAAAAGGCGCAGAAAAGCCGATTGAACCGAAAATGCAATTTTGGAGAAATCATTCCTAGACCACTTCACCCTTTTCCCAATTTCAAGAGGCAACTTTGGGTCCATTTCCTTGGCTCAATTCTTATCGAAAAGGAGCAAAACTTGGTGGCCAAGGAAAAGCAATGTAACGTGGCTCTGTGGTCCAAAAGGTCAACGCAAAATGCCAAGAAGGAGCAAGGAAAGGACGCTCCTGATGCAGCTGCTGCTGGGTGTACGTGGTGAAATTCAAGTTAAGAAGTAAGCTGTTGTCGCTCTATAAACGGAGAACAAGATGCACATTTTCAAAGGAGGAGGCGAAGGAACAACTTAGTGTAGAAAGATTAGGGTTTAGTGTATTAGTAAATGAGGAGAGAGTTGTGCAACAGAGCCTCTCCAGGTAGTTAGCAGAGAGACAGTCGCTTAGGTGAGTGGCATCCCAACTTGCCTGAGTGGTCTGCTATTCTTGGAAAGCTTATATCTTTAGTTTTTTGTTTACTTCCTCTTATCTTGTAATCATGTTTTTTGTTCAATGCTTCGTGGATTTTGTATTCAAAATACTGAGCATGAGTAGCTAAATCTTTTACTGTGGTTGAATCCCTCTTTTGATGTGAAAATATTTTAGATTTGCATTCGAACAGTGTAAATGTTCCCACTTTTAGTATTTGAATTAACCTTGTATGTAGTCTTATCAACTAGACACCTGTTCATGCACATTGGGGGAATCCCTCACGGGTAACTTAGAGATAACAACCTAAGGTTTCAACTAGGATCAAAAGAAACCTAGATGGCATGAGGTGGTCAATAAGACTCTAGAATCATAATGACTCGCGAAACTTTAGGAGTAGTTGAGCGTCTGACCGAACACCCTTCGTATCACATGGATGCATAATCACTGTAGAAATAATATAGAAAGAGAGGAGAATCCCTAGGCTCCCTTACTGTACTTATTACTCCGCAATCTTAAACTGCTATCTTTCATGCCCTGTTACTTGTATTTACTTACTCTCTTGTTCTTTGTTCCACTTTACTTTCAAGTTTTGCGAGGAAGACCATCATTCATGCGAATACTGATAACACTCGCGTGAGTGGTAAACTTTTTTGCCTCCCTTTTGTTAGTTTTGGTTTGTTTTTCCAGTGATCTAGGGGTTTAGAGACAGTCATTGCCATATTTGTGGGTTTGACTTGACTTATTACTAAACAAATTAAATAGTTCTAAGTTGGTTATAAATTTCTTTTCTTGGGCCACAATTAACGACATCATAGGATATTGTGCCGCACCACCTACCTATTAGCTTCTTTTATCAGTCTGTTGATCCTCAAAGTTTACATTATGGACGACAGTTTACATTTCCAAATGTGCTCTTTTATTTAACACTAATTTATGTTTTTGACAAATTTTGCGGCACTAAGAAAGAGTTAGGTTTGTTATACAACCTTACTCCAAAAAACATAAATTTTATTTTTTCGTCAGAGTGAGAGAATAGTCGACTATGTAAGGCATTATTTTTTAATTTTAGTAATTAACATGGATATGTTTTATTAAAGTGGGATGACAGTCTAAATAGAAGTCTATTGTTTGCAGCGATGGATTTTCTTGTACATTTACTGTTCTAACTAATCAACATCGGAGGTACTTGGATAAAAATGTATTCGTACCATTGTTCTTCAAATTTGTATCTATGAATACCTATGCACGCGAAGTCTAAGAAAATAAAAGATTAATTTAAAAATAAAAATAATTCGTAGCAATTAAAAATCAAAATAAATTGTTGCAATTGGAGTAGTACACGACCCCAATATTATTATGTAACTAGTTTTTACCTCATGCGTTGCGCGTATAATATGTGACGGAGAGTAAAATATGTTCGGTAGGGAAATGTGGGGTTTTTACTTGTTCATACTAATAAATTTTAGTGAAATTTAACTACTATAAATATGATCAAATTAAAAATTTGAAAAAATAATTAATAGAGTTTAACTATGAAGGTTTTTTTAAAAGATTGAAAATTTTAAAAAGTTTTAAGTAATAATATATTTACTCAGTATTATTAGATTATGAAACAGTCAGTAAAAATTTAGATATTATTAACATAAGAAAAAAGATTTTAAAAAAAGAAATTATCACATTATTTGCAACTGGAGAGTGCAGATGGAAGGGCTGATGCCTTTGACTTCTATACTTGGCTTTGCTTCCTCCCTGCATCATATTAATACTTGCTCTTAAATCTAGCAAAACTGTCTTAAATTTAGTGTTACCAAAAGTGCAGGGAATTGTGAAACTCCCTAGATCCTTGAGCTTTGCTGGCAGCTTCTTCAGAATGGCTGCACTGCACTCCTCATTCAAAGTTATGAATGATGAATCATGAATCCTTGGCTTGTTTGAGACTAACTCCTTCAGGTGTTTGAAATACTTTGGCATTTGCTTCAGAGCATCGATTAATGGAATGTTGCTATGTAAGCTTTCCAGATTGCTCATGAATCTTTTGATAGCTGCTTCTGAAGTCTTCTTCTTAACTTGTCTAAGTGGATAAGGGGTTATTGGTACTTCAGGTTGATCTGGGAGAGATGGAAATTGAACCTCCTCTGTCAAACCTGGTTCTGTTGGGGAATGGCCCTTTGAATCCACTACATCTTCTTTCTCCATAGTAAGGTCAATAACATCTTCAGCTTCTTCGGGTATAGGTGCAGGTGCTGGGACGAGAATCTCACTTGTGGGAGTGAGTTTCTTCCCACTGTGAAGTTACAAGCTTGGCTTGTTCGTGCTGAACTGGCCTAGGATTTCCACTGTATCACTTGGCAAACTTCTTGTCAGACGTTCTGCACATAGCTTCTCTTTCTGATAAAACCTTGCCTCAAGTGATGTTGGCTGGCTTGCAAAGGTTTGATCATAGTCTTAAGCTCCACCACATCACTTTCTTTTAAGCTCCATTCTGGTTTCTGAAATCAGGTGGTTGGTCAGGCCTTTGGTAGCTGCGTTGTTGCTGACTGTTGTTCCAATTGCCTTGCTGCCCTCTCCAGTTGTTGTAAGGATTGAAACCACCTGTATTGTTCTGACGAACAAATTGAGTTGACTTCATCAACTCAGGACAGTAATCAATCTTATGTGGACCAGAGCATGACTCGCACAAGTCAATTTGCGAGTTGGCAATGCGAGCTTCAACTTTGGCCATCTGATTTAAGAGCTGGGAGAGTTGGGCTTGCATACGTGTAGTTGTATCAACTTCAAATATGTCAGCCTTCTTGGGCAATAGTCTGGGATCTGATTGCCATCTATAGTGG